TTTATAGAGAAGTTGGTTGAAGCACTTCAGAAAAACATCCAGAGCCCAAGTGATCACCACCTCCTCCAGACTTCCAGATCTATGCGTACATGAACTAACCAGTAAGCTAATTTCTCAGTCCAAAAATAATAGTTTATCAGCACAATGAAATTTATGCTTTTCTTCCTCTTATAATACTTCATGTGAAAATGATGCACTGAATAGTATTTCAGGAGCTCTACAAACAGGTAATGGAAAGAATTCGGTCAGAATAAGTGAACCTGAGAGTCTTAGAGAGAAAATATGCAGATAACGTGTAGGGAGCCAAGCAACAGTCTCAAAATTATTCAGAACAATGGCATAGGGAAATATCACTAACACTCAAGCTATAAGTCATTTCAATTTGCAGCTTATGAAAACAAATGTAAAAGAAAAAAAAAAAGCCCAAGTACTTTATATATAAAAAATAGATATTATTTTCTAAACAAATGTCTAAATTAGACTTTTGTAGACCTTTCATAATATTGTGATTTCTTCTTCCTGCACCTTGCTATGTTATATCTAGTGCTTATCTCCAGTAATTTGTCATTAAAAAATGGTTCATTTGCTCTTAATAATACAAGTTTTTCACTAGTTTACTGAGTGTTAATTTCCTCACCCTCTACAGTAGTCAATAACTAAGCTATATATTCAAGTGTGATATTTAATACTTAATTTTAAATCTTCAATATTTAATTCAATTTACTAGTTTTCTATAACCACATTTATGATGTTTATGATATTCTATCATCGTTGACTAATAAACATATATTCAGGAAAAGTGAAAAATAGATTATCTGAATATAACTTTTTCTCAAGTATCATTTAATTATTTATTCCTTGGTTCTCTAGCATGTTTCCCAAAGTTTGAGTAAGATATGCCCTATGGAATACCACAGACATTTTTAAGAGTGATGACATTATGCTTGATGATGAACAGATTCATAAGAATTTAAACCTCATTATAAATTTCTATTCTGCATTTTAAAATTATTTGTAATTTTCAGAAAACATTTTTCACATGAGACTCATTTAAAGACTCCAAGACTCATTTAAGTCTCGCAAAAAATCTTTCAGGTAGTTACTAGTCAATTAATAATAGAAATATTGTATCAGTAGAACATTAACTAATAAATGAAGAACAGAGGTAACATCTGCTTTGCAAAAGATATAAAGTCATGCACTAGAGTATTCATTTATGAAGATGAACTGTAATGAAAAGTGGCATGGAATATACTGCTGATTTGATAAAGAAAAAAAATTATATGATAAAAGAAAAATTAAAACTTCACTAAGATACTTCTTAGCAATATAAATAAATATTTTTGTAGCAATGATAGTTCCTTATGCCTGAATTTTATTTTCCAATTACATCTTAGATATTTTTTAATATCAAAATGTTTTCTTGTCTTTACAAGCTTAGAATCTAATCTTCTCTGTATCATTTGTACTTGGCGACTGTAGACGGAAAAAAATTGTTTGTTGTTCATAGAACTAAACTCAGTAAGATTTTTTTTCTCATCTACTGATCATCAATTTAGTGTATCAGGGTACACTGTAAATACAGAGTTTCCTGGTGAAGTGAGCTGTGATTTGTAGCAAATCATTATTAGCACTAATTTTGTTACTTATGGAACATCTCATTGCTTACAGGTCTAATATTCAAGAAAAGGATTAGTATCTTTTTGGAGTAACTTCTCATTTATTTAATTTTTCTAGGTTGAGACTGTGTCAATTCATCATCAAATGTACATATTTGGTCTTGGCCACACTTCCTATTGATATAATAGTATGTATTTTACTGTTTATACGTCGGAGGATTTTTGTTGGTTTAACAGGCAAAAAAAAAATTCCCGCTTTGTGTTCTTCAAGACCTTGCAAATCTCATCACAGGAATACCTTATAAAGTAGATATTAAAAAAAAAAAAAAAAAAAAAAAATCCATATGGATTTCTGAAACAAAGCTATCTAGTAAATTTAATCAGTGATAATTGCAAACTGGATATAAACTACCTCAGTTTCTCAACTCTGTATGTCTCATCTAAGAGAGTAGAATGTTTCTTTAGTGTGTAAAACATTTCCTGTATAGTTAATGAGCCTTTCCATGACCTTACTGGCTGAAAAACAAAATGAAATGTGAAATAAAAAATATCTTTTTTATTTATTTTTTTCTTTAGTAAGAGAAATCTATACAAATACTTCTTACACATACACTCCAGCTGCTTCAACAGTTAAAAGTCTTTACCAATGCTTTCCTTGTAGTAAAGCCATGTAGTACGATCCTTAAGAGGTACACAATCATATGTTAATTTTAACTTCCTATCTAAATTTTTGGTGGTAGTATAGAAGCATGTTATTCCACAGACATAATTCACAAGGACATGTGCATAAACATTTATAGAAATGCTACAAAGCAGATTGCATATAGTTATCTATTTTGGAGAAAGAACTAAAAGTATACACATCTGCTATTTTAAGTGTTGAAGCAGTATCTTTCAACAAAATTTACCTCCCTTCATTTTGTACTTGCATTTAATTTTATCTGGAAACTTTCTGACATTAGAACTAGAACAAATGTAGTTTCCCATTATGTATGCTGCCAGAATCTATGCTTGGTTGCTCAACTAAAGAGCTTATATTGCTAATTACTACCACATGCCCAAATCCCAAGCAGAGGAAAGCTTATTGGTTCTGACAATCCATTCTCTCAACACTGAATTCCAAATGAAAACTTAAATTTTGGCCAAACATAACATTTCATCAATCTTGTTCTACTGACTGCAAAAGCAACATCAAAAAAAGGATTACTAATAGCTTTTTACTGTGCAGTTCCCAAGTTTAGATTCTTTGATGAAAGACCCACACAAGCAAAAGACTTCTTTATACTACTCAGTAATTAATATTTGAACCAGAAAACAATGCATTAAGTAAATCGAACATTTTGCATGCTGATGACAGAGCTGTTTCAATTGAGAAGTTATATGGGCAGTAGAGATCTGCAGAATAAGCACTGAGTGAGCTAAAAAAAAGACAGTTTATAAAAAGACAAAAAAGAAAAGGAGAGAAAACAAAATGAAGCACGCCCCAAAGCTAGCAGGAAGTCTTTGAACAGGAATTGAGGTTTTCAGGATGTGGGATTCTGACTGAAGATCAAGTCCTAGTTTAGAGGCAACTGAGCAATGCTGGGTACTAGTGACAATGTAGAAAGTGAGAGACTAGAACTCTGTATTTAAAATGGTTTTTAAAATATATTCACCTCTTGTAACTCTTTTGGAGTTACAAGAGTGAAAAATGAGGTGCAAATTCTGTATTTGAAAATCCTCTTCTTAGAAAACAAAGTATGAACACAAACATGAAACTGAGTAAGTCTCTGTCACAAATAAACATTTTGGGAACTGACAGAAATAAATGAAGACTTTTTTTTTCATCTTTATAAATGAATTATGATGTATGTTTCCAGTATTAGATTTTGCAGTAAAAAATAACTTTAGACACTGGATGGTACCTTAAAAATGGAAAGCCTGAAGTTGTCATTTACGAGTCATTATGACTATTATTGAATATGTAACAGTATTAGAATAAAACAAATATCGTTCTTCGACCCAGTGATTTAAACCAGTACTCTCAAATTAGTTCTTTGGGGCAAATGTAGTCTTTCTTCTCTACAAGGAGAAGAAATAATTTGATGAAATCATGATTTACGTCTGTAAAATCATGCATGGGAGATAACTTAGGGTGAACAAGGTGAAAACCCTTTCTGCTTGAAGTATGGAAAAGAACAAATTAGATAATTTCCTAAAGTTCCTTCTTTTTGTTCTATGGAAAGGATTTTATATAATTAGTCTTTTGTGGTAAATACATATATCTGCTAGAGAATTTCACAAACATATGTAATGAAACAGAAGATGGCAACATTAATGGTGATAAAAATAAAATAATATATCTGCGTTTACGTCTGATTTATTGAAGGCCAGATCTCAGATCTAGATGTTGGGACTGCCAGAAAAAGACGTTTTTAACTTGGTCATGAAAACAAGCAGACTTTCAACAGAAATGTAATGGGTTGAAACGGTCTAATAAAAACTACCTGTTGCTACCAAACAAAATGATTACTTTTTATTTTCATTTTTTTCCCACGCTACATTGATACTAAGGATAATACTTCCTCTTCTTTACAGTGGTTGTGGAAGAAAATAATTTTAAAACTCTTGGTCATACATTCATAAAACCACTATTTTTTGCAATATTCATATGCAATCAATAGGAGCTGCTTGAGATCCGCATCTGTTATTTGAACAATAACAATCAGTATTATCAATTGTCTCAGACAGTTGTGGAATAATCCAATTGACATAAATATCTCATTTTTCACTCCAGCAAACTGAAGTTATCTAAAGAACTGATTTTCTCCAAAATCACATTAAATTACCATTGTGACTTAGTTAAGAGATCACCAAATAATTAAGCGATGCTCAAAAATGTGAAGGGATGTTAATCTCTTTCCAGAAGCTAGCTGCATATGCAAAAGCAAGATATTTATTTATTCATTTATTTATTTTTTCAATTTATATCAGTGTAGTCCTAATGGTATCCAGGTTCTCTTGAAGCAGGAACATAATGTTGTGACTTGTACCGTAGCATTAGCCCAGGTCTCTAACTATAGTGTGACAGTTCTCCAGTGGTAACATCTGAAGTCAAGCAATACAGCTTTTTAAGCTGCAGGTCAGCTATTACCACCTTCAGGGTATCTTTAAAGTCACACAACCACACCTGGTCTTTTTTGACTTACTTTCTGCCTCGGGTTGAGTTAAAAGTCCCGCCGTATTTCTTCCGATTAAGGATGAGAGCAGCAATTTCTGGCACGTAGCGAGCAAACATTGCCTACATGCATGAAACAAAAACACAAAAAAAAAAAAAAAGAAAATGGCATGCAGAGAGTGTTCTACTGCAGCAGAGGCAGCAGAGCCTCTTGGGATACTTACTTTCTTCCACTAACCGCACTATAGGAACCACCATATTTCTTGCGGTTTCCTATTAACTCTATGATTTCAGGGACGTAGCTGGCAAACATGGCCTAAGAAGAAGACAGGAGACAGAAGAAAAGACTAAAAAGATAGGCCAAAGAAAGGGGGATGATGAATATTTTCAAGAGATAAATATTTTTAAGATCTGAAAATGCAAAAGAATTAGATCTACAAAGGTGTTTAAAAAGAAAATTTTAAAAATGTAAAAGTTCTTATCAAACAAAACAAGAGGGTTCAATGTAAAAGTTGGTCTTAGAGAAGGTGCATGTTTTATAAATTAATAAAATGGCCGAAAGAGGAAAAATAGGAAGAGCAAAATTAATTCAAGCTGTTAAATAATCACAAGGTACAGTTACGTCTAAATCTTCTTGAAAAGGGGAAGGTAAAAAAAATACTCATCTTGACTGGAAAGAAAAAAAAAAAGAAAAAAGAACAAAACAGACAAACAAACAAAACAGCAACAACAAAAAAAAAGCAAAGCAAAATTTTAAAAAATATCACCACCAAAAAAAAAAAAAAACTCACAAAAAAAATTTACAAAATGGTTTTTTATGGTTATAAAAAAAATTTTTTTTTTAAAAAAAAAAAAAAAAAAAAAAAAAAAAAAAGAAGTTTTCCCCTGTGATTAGGATCTCAACAAAGACAAAAAGATAGAGTCAGGGGCAAATCTTCCTTCTGAAGAACAAAACAATCACCACTACCCCCAAAAATTGTTTTTCAAAAGGTTTCGCTTTTAAAAGGATTTGAGTAACACGTGAAAGAAAAAAAAAAAAAAAAAAAGATTTTAAGGAGAAAATAAAAATTATTCTGCCATGTTTTGTCCAACAAACATCTCCCTTGTGGCTGGATACTTCGAAGAGCTACTGCCAGTTGGCATGACCTCTGTGCTTGTTTGTCAATAAACATAGATGGAAATGCATACATATACTTTTATATATGTACCTGTGTGTCTGACATATATGGTATTCATAAAATCATTTTATACATATCACTCCATAAGGTGTATGTATCTGTGAAATCAGTATGAGAGTAAAGTAACAAAAAGGATATGTATGTATGTGAATTAATATATATCATTAATTGTCTGTACAGCACTTACCTTGCACTGTCTGAATAATGAAATAAACCTTGCTGCTTTAGAAAAAACATTGCAACAGGTTCCATAGAATTACTAATAGTGATAAATAATAGAAAAGCTGATAGAAGACAACTAGCAACTTTGGTGCTTTGTACATATAGGACAAAGAACACCAGAATTTGCTGATATAAAATGGTACTGGTTATGACCATGCTTCATGTGACAAACTGAATTAAAATTGAGCTGTGTTACATGAAACGATGTTTGAAATTAAAGAAAATGTGGTTTGCCATCATCAGGGTCAGGCAAGCTGCTCTTTAAGGCAGTCCAGAGCCACAGTGTTTGTTGGAATTCTGGGAAGGAACACAGAAGGATGGGTAGGACTTCTGAAACCGCAAAGTGCCTTTAAGTATCAATATTATGCTTAAAAATATGCCCTACATTCAGTCACAGAAAAGTAAAATACTAGGACTAAGTTTATAAGCAGAAATGCTAAGGCACTTCATGTATTCACATGCATTACTTATTTCAGAGGTTTATAGAAATTCTGACTCCTATGACTGTCAGAATATTTATCTTTAGAAAAAATATAGTGTATTAAACTTATTTAGGAGTTTTAGAATTAATTTTAATTTATTAAGTTAAATATTATTATTTCTTCAGTTATAGCACTGAGATTGAGATATACAGAATAAGAACTAAATTAGAAGAAACTAATAAAAATGAAAAATAGTAATATATTTTTTTTTTACCAATCCCCCAAGGATGAAGAAGACCATGAAAAGGCGACCAAGGGTTGTTTTTGCATAAACATCTCCATAACCAACAGTAGACATTGTAACCATCAGTAAATAAACGCATTCCCAGTACGTTAACTGTTGATTATTTTGAAAATTTTCCCAAGGATCCCCTGAGTTCTCCACCTAAAATGAGAAAGGAAATACACAGTGAATAAACTAAAAGTACCATAAACTATCTCTACTGATACAAAAAATACACATATTTTATTGGCAAATAATACTCTGGATAAATAAAACTCTGGATCCCGTTCTGTGATTTGTTTTGAACATACAGAGGACCCAGGATTATAGATTTACCATTCTCTTGCCAATACACATAGAATTGCCACTGCAACTGTTTATCGAGAAAAGTTTTTCCATTCACTACTAAACAATATACATTATTAAAGAAAAACTAGGGCTTATTTGATATCAATTTGTCCGGATATTTTTTCAGATATTATTTGCAATGCAATTATTCCACTTAATATTTTTGTTATATAATATAATGTAGCTATTTATGACATTAGTGACTTATCACTGACTTGGAAAAGTGACAGAAGTTATAAATTTAACAGCAGGAAAGAAGTATACGAGTATACTCTGTACGCATAATAGCTATTAAGTTTTGTTCCACACTAGGAAACCTAAAGATTGAGAATTCCTACAGCAGAAAAAAAAAAAAAAAAAAAAAGAGAAAACCTCCTTCTATCTGATGTAATTTTTAAAACGGTAAATTCTATGTTTTTTTGTTTTGTTTGTTTTTAATTCAAATCTAGAAAAAGTGAATGAATCTGTGTTTAAAAAAAAAAAAAAAAAGCAAGAAAAAAAAAAAGCTGCAGTGGCCCAAATGAATGCATTACTGTTAAATGAGAAATATATCACAAAAAATACCACCCAAAACCTCAGTTCATCTTCCTAAGACTGAAAATTAAACATTGACTTCTTCACACTGGTAACCAGCGATGGGACATGTGGAAATGGCACATAGGTGGGTGTCAAGGCAAGCTCAGGCTACATACAAGGACAGAATTGTTTACCCTGAGGAAGGTCGAACACTGAAACCAGCTTCCTAGCTAGGTGTTTGATGCCCTGTGTCTGTTAGCATTCAAGAGGTATCACTGGATAATGCCTTTAGTAATAAGTTTCAAAGTTTGGTTAGCCCTGAACTAGTCAGGAGTTCTATCTTTGCATGTCCCTACCAACTCAACTAGTCCATTTCATTCTAAATGATTTCTGGTATAACTAGAGGACAAGCATTCTGAATTGTATCTTATGTAGACAAATGTAGCCCAAGGTAATTTAAGTGAAGTCAACCAAATTCTTCAGTTGAAGTTATTTTTAAAGTCTGGATTAACACCAATATCACCAAATCATAACATTACTTCAAAATCATCCTAACTTATTATTGCCCTGAAATTTTCCTGATTCTAAATTCATCATAAAATGTCCTTAAAGGACAAATATTTAGTTATATTTAATTATATTTAGCAAGTAACTTAGCAAAAGCTATTGTTTTTAAATTTGAAAACATGCAAATGACACATACCTTTTATATACAAGTATATTAATATTTATGAAATGATTTGTAATTCTATATGAAGCATCTTGTCAGGTATTTTTAAGTGCAGAATAACAATTATGACAAAAAAGTATACTATCAGTGACAAATAGAAAAATCAAACACTAGAAATCTAAGAGAAAAGCAGAAGGAATGCTATCCTAAATGGTTGCAATCCCACTGCATCTTGTGGAAATACAGAATGGCTTTCTTCTCTAGCACAACCATTGATTTCCCAGGACCTCACTCTCATTTCATACTCAGACATCCCGTTCCAGGAAGCACTTTGAGTAGTTATTTAGGCAACATTGCCACCTACTGGTTAAGTATAATCATTCAGGAAGTTATAATAGTTCAAGTCTCACATTTATCTATTGCTGAAACTAAATATAGGGGTTAAGACATAGATTAGTATTACTTATAAAATAATATTTGAGTAAAAGCTGAAAATTGAAGAAATTTCAATTTTTTTTATTTTTATTTAATAATGAAATGTACTAAGGGATCATTCAGAACAAGACAATTTCAGATAATAAGGCAGATGTGAAAGAAAGCCAAAGAAATATTTGCAAACATACTTACCAAATGTATGAACCCAGCTGCTGTCAGCCATGTGCTGATAAATATAGAGCACAGATTCACTAGCTTGATGGAATTACTGGGGAGAAAAAAAAAGAAAAAGAACATACTTTGGAATTTATCGGACATTCCTCTCACTACTCTTTCAATTTTCCTTTCTGTACACATCAGCATTTAAACACATTCAAACATTCTGATGTCCTGGAATACATCCACGCAGACACAATGAATTAAATAAGGTAATGCCAGCTACCATTGTCTGCTGAACACTGTATTTCCACCCATGACTGACTGATGCTTTCTGAATTATTTCGTTTTTCATTAGCTTGTATGCTTTTTCCATATTCTTTTTTTTGTTTTGTTTTTGTTTTGTGTTTTTTTTTACCCCAGACCTGATGAGGCTTTAAATGCCAATGTCAAGAAGATTTTCAGTGCTGACTCATTGCTAATACTTGCAAATATTATTATAGAGCAAGACTATCTTTCTAGAGATACAGCAAGCAGTAATGAACTATTGCAGCCAGTCTGTGAATGCCAGATTGGTTTTGTGGGGAAAAAAATAGGATTACCAAACTTGGGTATTTTGTTTCTGTGTAAAGTCCTAAGTCATTTTCAAATTAAATCATAACATATCTCATAATTCACACTGACAGTTTCAAAAACAAAACAAGAGAAACCCCACAAATTCTTTTTAGCCCTCCTGAGTACGATATACTCTACTGTAGACAAAGGTGATTTTAAAGCAGGAACCTCACACTGAGTTCAGCAGAAAAGCACTATACTGAAGAGCTTGTGGAAAAGGTTTAAGTAAAGCCTGGTCCTTCTATTCTAAAAAATATTACTGCAATTTGAAAAGCTAGGAGTTACATCCAGCAAATACACAATGAACTGAAGTTATCTATTATTACCTGTTAAAGACCTTACATTTTCAAGGAATTTTATTGAAAATAGCTCTCCTCTGTTTTTGAAAACACATTCAGAAAGAATGAACACATCATCAGAAAACTCATGATTTCCAAGCCAGTGTGTTCCAAAAGAAGAAATACTGGGGGGGCGCGCCCGCCAAAAAAAAAGTAGTAGTTTTGGTAGTAGTCATAGTAGAAATGTAGTGATAGAGTTGATTAATATTTATTTTTCTAACTAACTGAGGACAATTTCTAACCTAAGTTGACAAATGAAAATGGAAAATTAAACAGATAGTTCCACTGAACATAATTTTTAACTAGTACAGTTGAGTGGGCAACTGTAGGGACTAGTAAAGATACACAACTGGCTAACAAATGACAGTTGCTGTAATGATTACTGTACTCAAGTTTATGAAGCCATGCCTTCATTTTTACAATTAATTAATGCTCATGCACATCGAAGCATATCCGCTGAGACAGTTTATTAAGGTTTGTTTGGTTAATTTTAACACTTTGTTAATAACAGCATTCATAATACCACAATAATGTCAGAAGACACTAATCTCTAGGTGCCTAGATTAAACAAAATGATAGAAATTATACTGCTGCAAAGTTTCATTATGAAAAGCTAAATATAATTCTTCACCTGAATTTAGGTCAGAAGAAACTCTCAGTGCAATAAAACAACAACTGTTCTCCACATATTACTGTAATATATGTAAATGACTGCAGTCATTAAAAATATCTTCTCATTATGTGTTTGAAAATTTTTATTTTTTCGGGTTTATTGAAAATTGTACCTTCTCTGTCCTCTATGAAATACGCCTGTGTTTCTGCCAGAGTCTAAATATAGATGAAAGATTAGTCACAAACATTTTTCTGATCTTTAATCTCTTTGCAACATCTGTGCAAAATCCCTTAGTGTGAGCCCTAAGTCCCTGCAGTTTTGTTGAGAAAATATTTGAAAGCCATGAAGTAGAGAAATTTCCAAATCAACATCACACAACTCTATTTTATAAACACGGGAACATAAAATATTCTGATATTTAAATGCCAATGTCAAGATGTATTTCATTTCAGAGTAAGGAAACAAATAGATTACTGGCAGAGGAATATCTTCTAATAGGCCAAGGTAGATCTTTGCTTTAGTTGTTCTTTTCAAATAAAACAATAATTATGTTCTCATGATTTTCTCATTACTTTGCTGATCGTGTCAATATCTGAATGTGTTTGAAAACCATTTTTAAGTGGTGCTCGGGGACATGATTTAGCAGAGGGTTGTTAGGGTAGTATGGTTTGGTTGGGATTAGACTTGAAGATCTGCAGAGTCTGAGCAATTCTGTTATTCTATGATTAATGTTAACCACAATGAAATACTTCATTAAATTACCTCCATATTTTTTCAAATGAATGCATATAACCTTAAATAGCTATGTCTTTTTTTTTTCTATTATTTTATATAATAAAAGCATCTTTTTTTTTTTTTTCTATAATATACTTTCAGAGCTAATAATGAAATACTGAATTTACTGTTTTAGTTCAACAGGTTGAGTACTGTCATTAGTTCTTGGTCTTTATTATAGACAAACTACGAAGTTGAAAATTTCATGAAATCTTTATAAGTGGTAGGCAAGGACTATTGAAATTTCTTAAGTTAACAAGGTTTTTAGACCCTTCTAAGCAAAACAATTTTGCAGTAACTGGTCAAAACTATAAAATACAAAATGAAAATTTATGGTAATAATGAGAATTTATGGCTACTGTATGTAACTGAAACACTGCTCAATTTTAAATAAGTAGATTTTATTTAATTGAACAGGGATTTAATGAGGATAACAGCGTCAGTCCTCTGGCTCTTGAAAAATTTCTAAAGATTGTTCATTAGACACAAGTGCTCAGCACTTTCAGTTTAGTTTTGTGGAGTTTTTTTCAGAAAGATTAATAACGCAGAAATAGAAACTTCCACTAAAATAGTATCTTGATACTCTAACAGCATATGTGTATCCATCACCTACACTATCTGTTTTCTGGCCATTTGTTGCAGATTGATTCATTCACTTTACAAAATGCTGCTTTGTGAACATCGATAGTATTCAAATAATTAAGTTCACTTCAGGTTTACTAAAATACACAGAGCAGACATGTTCTTCCACTGAAGAAATAGGAACAGGGAAAAATAAAAAAAAAAAATTGAGGCACCTATTGTTCTTAAGTTAAATAAACTTTACTGCTGATGAGCTGCTGGCGGTTAATCAGTCAAGTAAACTGAAACTGTCACATTAGAAACTCTGCTTTGCAGCCTTAGTAAAGGTTGTAAGCATTTGGGTTTTACAGATATTTAGGCATTCAGATAGAAAATTATAGAGACACTATCTAATCTAACATTTAAATTTCTACTAGAAAAAAATGCTATTATAATGAATCAGTTAATCTTAAGTTAGCAAGCTGTGAATAAACTGCAGTTGATCAATACAATATCCCTACACTTATGGACCTAGAAGTTTACGAATTCATCACTTCTGACTTTATCTAAAACCATTTGAGTTTATGGGACATTTCTATTAGTTGCCATGTCCTCTGGTGAGGTTGTTCTTGTGTCAAAAATACTGGATATTCTGAGCTTCTGGACAAATTTTTCACTTTCTTTAACAAACTGGTAATAATCTAAGCTAATGGGCTAACATTTTCCCTACATGTTCATTAATTTCTCTATTTATCAAGGACTGGACTTCTTACAGTCACACAGCTGAAGATATACAGATTTTAAGAGACTAGAGCACATAAAATAGTTTTAAGCTTAAGGACTGAAAAATCAGCTCTTCACTATGAGCATCTACAATTCTCAAGGTTCTATTTACTCATCACAACCAGTTTACAGGGGATGTGGACACAGTTTCTTGCTTACAAAGTTCTCACACAAGCTTCTCAACTAATGGAGAGAATATAGTATTTTAGAATTGAACTGAATTTACATTAATTATTGGAAGGCTGGTTCAATTCTTTAGCTGGGGTAATTTAAGGAGTGATAAAAGGCAAAGCATCTACAGCAGTGAAGCAGGGAGGGTTCCTGTTTTTTTGTTGTTTTTTTTCCTCAGAGTGATCTTTTGTGCCAACCTATGCTTTTTCCACACAATTAACATGTATTATTGGCCTAAAGAATATGTGAAAAACAAAGTTAATCAGAGGAGTTTAAAGTATTCTTTGAAAGGAATGCTAATGGCAGTGAACACAATAGAAACATAGCTGTGTGTATAATTATTTTTTTATGTGAGGAAGGATGCTCAATTCAAAAGAACTGAAGTAGAGCCACAACAATTATTTTTTGAAATGCTTTTTAGCAGTATTCCTGAATTAATTGAATTAATTTCCATTATGTAAGGCAGTGGAATACAGACTGACAATGTGGAAATAAGTAACATTTAATCAGTGAAGAGCTATGCAATTCATTCTGCTCTGAATTTATCAATATTCAATCAGATATTCCAAGCAAAATCTTCTCCTGATAACACGGAAACAAAAATGTTTACTCTGGTAAATCAGTGGTCAGCTATGTAAAAATTTTGAAGAACAGATATTGAACTTCATTTTTTTGGCTGATTCTTTTTTCAGACAAAAAAAAATCATATATTACTAGGACCACTAACAGAAGCCATTTAAGTTACGCCATCAATACAACCACTCAAAATATAATTAAATGTCTTACCTTGTTTTAAGGATATTCAGAAACTGCAATATTTCTGAAAACTGTATCAGTCTAAGGGCTCTTAAAAATCTTAAACCTGCATTAAAGAAAAAAAGACTCTAGTAAAGAATAATCCAAATTCTAGCAACACTTCATTTACAAAGACAGCGATCATGAAAACAACATAGGCAGCATACAGTCTGTCAAATACCTTTGAAGTGTTCCTCCATATTTAACAGTTTCAAGATCCTCACCAGTCCTTTTTGGAATAGTTTTAAACTTAATTCCTTAACTGCTGAGGTATTCTACCGGAAAAACTCAGTTTAGCCGGGAAGCCATGGAAGGAGATTAATTGGCTGAAAGCTAAGAGGGAAAAAAGCCTCTTTGAGGTTCTGTTGGCTGTTCTAACACACATGACCTTCTCTTCAGACTGCCAAAGACACGTACAGACCTGAAACTTCTCAATTTTCCAAGCTCCCATGATGCTTAGTGAAAAATAAGAGATTATAAGCAAAAGATCTGATAACCCAGATAAACTAGACTGTGGATATGCCTGATTACATTGGCAAATCTTAATGACGTAAAATCTTTTATTGCAATAATGCCCCTATCTCCACCGTAATTTCAAAAAAAATCAAGTAGTACAACAAGAGGACCACACACTCTCTCCTAAAAGTTTCAAATTTGCTATATAATTATTTCTATTAAAAAAATAGAAGTTTTGTGTTGAAATCAGGTTGCCTGAGTAGCAATTCCTAGACAACTGTAAAGCCAATGAGAGAGAGTATGCAAAAGAAAATACTGTAAAAGATTAAGGGCTTAAATTATTAAAGGAGACTTATTCTGATTCTAAATTGGCTACAGACCTCTGGCATATGAATAAGGGTACATAGTGTACAAACACACATCTTATAACATTGAAACAGCACTTTCAGGATATTTTTTTAGTAAACAGTGCAGCCAAGAGTTACTTAAAAAATTGTATAATATGCTATTGTGAGTATTGCAAGGCAGCTTCTTGTCATTCAATCTCGTGTGTTATAAAACATTTTTTCTCCCTAGAAACTTAAGGAAAATAATTAAACATCAGCACAACCTTTCTCATCCCAGTGAAGTTCAGAGGTTTCCTTCAAAAGCCAAGTTGTATGTGGTCAGATGTATGCTAAATCAAGGCTTTATTTTAACAATACTATAGAAAAGTTGCTAAATACATTTTTTACTCCTGTTAAGGCTCACAGCTATCCTTAATAGAGCTATCCTCTTATTTGTGTACCATACATATACAAAGTTTATAGAAAGCGTGTAGCTCTTAAGATTAATCACAACTTGAAAAGTGGATTTGGGGATCTCAGCAGAAAAAGCCATAAAATGATACTTAATAAGTCCAAATTTCAGATCCATTTGCAAGTAGAAGGTGATCATTTTATATCAAATTTCTCGAACTACAAGACACATGCTTCTGCTGTGCTTGCAGGAGTAGTCCTAGTAGCGCTAGAGTTCTAGCAGTTCCTAGAACTGAAACGTTCAAAATTGTGTACATTTTGAAATTGTCCACTCCCTAGCAAATTTTTAATAAACATATCACGGAAGAAAAATATCTCATTTCAAATGCACTGCAACTGAAGAGAATTTAAAGATATATCCATTGCAATGTTTCAAAAAGAAGCATAAGAAAGAGAGAAAGAGAGAGAGAAGGAGAGAGAGAATTACAGAGGCTTTAAGTCCAGCTTCCGTGACCTACAAATAGAACTTGCTTGTACAGAATCAGCTTGTAACCTCTGCATCTTGTCTAGGACACTACTTTGGGGCTTTGTTTTTTCACTAAGGAAACTTCAGTGCATTGCCTGTTCTGCATAGTTCAAGCACGAAAAACTCAAACCATAGATAAAAAATTTTCCTTATCATGACAGAATCTAAATCCTTTCCATTTATCTAACCTTTTCAATAACTGAATAAATCTGTTAGATTTTTGCACCCGTGCCATTTTAGATGATCTTTGGTACTTCCTGTCTTGTAGATAATGAGTTTACAACAAGAATATATGATTTAATAAGAATCTCATCCCATATTCATAGTATGAAGACACAAGTCATAAACCCTATGAAAAGCCGGATTCTGTAAATGATATATAAAACTTCAGAAGCTGTCATGAACCCTATATGACACTACTTCATCATATTTTCCAGAAAACTTGTTGATATAAATATATATTTTTATTTTTTATTTTTTCTAGAAAAATTAAACGAAATTAATTGAAATAGAAAATTAAAATAGACTACAAGAAGCAACACCTAGGAACAAACTGTAAGCACAAAGCTCAAATGAAATAAGATCACCCCTGAATGTATGTTATTCATATCATCTTGCACTTTGCAAGGTGATGATGAATATACTGAGCAATTCCTAAGAGGAAAAGTCCAATAAACACTTCATTTTGGTTCTGGAATTAACAATATATCAAAGAGTGTAATCATGTATATAACATAAACTGATGACATAGTAATCCTCACAGCAATAACCCTGCTGCAGTGCAACTGTTGTCGGATTAAAGATGGCCCAAATTATTCAGTGGGTAGTTTACCATGAATCCACATGAAAATTAAGCAAAGTTAAATAGAAAAGATTTTGGGTAGTCTTACTCAAGAATAATAACAATGGATCCATAAAGAATAGCTAGGTTATGAAAAAAAAGCATATGAAATAACTAACACAATTTCCCATGTCACGATCTCCCACTGTTCCAAATCAAATTTGACTCATTTAAAAATAAGAATTTCTTTCATGTTCACCAACTCACCAGGAATAGAAATTTATGACATTTTCTTACACATCAACTATACTAATCAAAAATCTATAATGAGAACACTAATAAAAAAATTTATTCATTTTCAAAAGCTGTGTGAGATACTAATACTCTTATATTTAAAGAATACAATTAGTAATTCAAATAAAATAGATTGTTATGTAATATAGTTATGTCAATTTGCACTGTGAATGTTTAATGGGATCCTGTCTTCTAAAGTCAACTGACCAATCTGCTAAAAGCCAGACTCAAGGATTATTTGCAATTTTGCCTCCTCAATTCTTCCTTGGCAAAAGGTTTTATGTTGGAACATTCTTGTGGGATCTAACTGGAATAGAATATAATCCTCTATTACAAAATGAAAAAAAATATATCAAAAGGTTTAATTCACTTAGAAATTCTCTCCAATCAGATAAAAAATACACATGCTTCTTCACTGAGCTAATCTTAGTTTCTAAATTCAAGACCAAGGTATGTTTCCAACCTGGAATTTCTGAGCTCTAAGATGAAGTTGAAGATTTCATAGATTTCTAAGCCAGAAAAGACTATTATGATTATCAATTCAGATACTTTTAATATAAAAAAATATTTTATTCCATAATTTCAGTCTAGTCCAATAATTTCAGTTGTACATATAACAAATAATTCAAATGAGCCTCAAAGTATACCACGGCATTATTTTCTAGCTGAGGAAATATTTGTTCATCTACATGTTTCAGCTATGACAACTAAAGAACAATTCTGAAAGTACACTGAAGATTTAAAATGTGTGTAGTAACTTGTATTATTTTATCAGATGATTTTCTAAATCACATAAGAGACTACTGGGAATAAAAGAAGTAATAGTGGGGAGGTTTTGGTTTTTTTTTAATTATAATTAATTTACATAATGCTTATACTTACTAGAGCAGATAATTTGCAAGAGGCAACCAGTAAGTCATTTGATTAAATTAAGCTAACAGAAAACACTAAATGTTTGTATTAACAACAGATTAAAAAAATAAAAGAGAACAAAAATATCACCAAGACTCCCAGAGGAGGAAATGAAGACAACTAAACAATTATTTATTCTTTATGAGATTCCAGAAAACAGAAATGGGAATTAGGATCTTTCCTTAATTCAACAAGAATTCAATCTAGTGAAACAGCATCAAGTATTACATTACGTCTTCAAATAAATACATATTACCTTTCTTATTTTCATATATTGCTTATTCTGAGAGTAGCATATTCAGAGGTACTGGCACAAGGACTTCAAACCACAGAGATTTTGCATACCAACTACATTCTTTGCAAACCATTCATCCATTCACTAGAATTGTATCTTCAATGACTGATTTCACTATTCATGAAAATTATCAATGGCCACTGCTACTCTATTTGACTGAGACCATATGGTTTACAGAAGACTGAAAAAGCAAGAATCAGTACTAAGAAAACCAGAAAATTTTCTGAGATATATAGAATAGAGGGGTAATTTTGGGGATGAAAACAGCTCTGTTCTGAATGCCTTCACAATGTGCAGCAGAACAACCTGAGATTCCACTCCCTGTAGATGAGTGTCAGAATGAAAGCTCCAAGAACAATACAAGAAGAAGTAAGAGAATCTGCAACATAACCAAATTATTTTCATATATTTCCTTGCTATTATTATGCAAGTGTACATATGAACCAGGTTTCACTGCATCAAGTTAAGAATCTATATAGATTGCTACTAATTCCTTTCAAGCAGTGCCATATCATAATTGTTAATAAATATCTCCAATGCATATTTTTAATTTACATTTACACCTATTAAAATGATAGCCATCTAAAACAAAACAAACAACAACTCTATATCACTGTAGAAAATTACTTTCTATTCTTCAATAAAGACAATTATTTCATTTTATTTGAATATCAAACCCTTTTGAGAAGGCACTGCATATACAGGCACATTACATTATGCAAGTCACAGAAGGAATTTCTCCTATACAGCAGCTGAAATCATATACCAGGAATGGAAAAAATAAATACAATGTCTGTTGAGTAAAGAATTGTGCTAGCACTAGAGACAGAATCACAAACTACATTTTGAAGAAAAAGTTTAGAGTTGGACCTTACCCCAGTATGAGCCGACCCTGTAACAAGACACCAAGGAGTTTCGAAAAGAATGCTGTTCTTCCTTCTCAGGGATATTATGTCCCGCTTTGACACGATATCCATTTTGGAATAGTTCTCCAAGAGACTTTTTACGTCTTCTGGTACTTTTGTAAGTTTCTGTACGCGTGCCCCCAGAAGGGCTGTGGTAGACT